TTTTTAGTTATCCAGGGAGATTAATTTTTAATTTGTATATTTAACTTACAGGGTAGGTTGGTAATAACAGCTGAACTGTGTAACATTGTTGCTTCAAATTGAAGTTTATATTTTGAACATTCAGAGTCAGTGCTCCTACAGCAGCATCCTGAGCTATTTTGAGTTTGCAGTGTGGAGGAGAGCTAAACTGTGTTGCATGTAGTACGTACCACACCATGTTACAGACCTGTGCCTTCTGGAAGTGTATAGATACGGCTCGTCTTGAAGTGTCATTCTCCACGTAGTGAGCCTACTGAATGATGAGATGGAGCAGAAGGGTTGGGAATCGTGTGTTTTGACATGTTGCTTGATGTGCTTTAAAGGTTGGAAGGTCTTGATTTTAACAGCAAACGTTTTGGAATAGCCTTTAGTCGCTAACATGGGTTAATACTGTTGTTCCTGAGTCTGTGTTTCAGTAATGCCAGATTTTCTTATTATTGGGCTTGGCAAATGAGTGACACCAGAGTCAGCAGGTGACTTCTGCGGTGTAGTTACCGGCACTTTTACCGCTTCCTGCCGTTGGTAGTTTGTCTTCATTCCTTACTCTCCCTGTTTGGCCCTTTTCCCTTTTTCTCATCCTCCTTTCCCACACTTCTAATTTCTTTACTTCCATTCTCCTTCCTCTTTCTGTAGATCCTAAGCCTCGGTTTAGGTTTATAATCATACTGCTTGGCATTGCTCGTTCACTGAGGGGTGAAGCTAAGCCGACCCCCAGTACTCTTACATCTGAGGGATCATGGACTGCTGCGTGAATTCCGCAAAGTCTCCAGACCCTGCAGCACCGGAGCCCTAAACCTCTTCCCAGTGACTGTGAAGGCAGTATAGTTTCCCAAGTAGTTTTATTAATCTAGAGAGCTACCAGGCACTTAGGAAAAGCTGGTTCAACTGATACTCTGAAGCCATAATATATTTGCTAGTATAAAAATTCTTCAGAATTGTAATTATTATTTGAAATAATACTTTGGTTGGCTTAAGTTTTGAGAGAGGATTCTAAAAATGATCTAGAGACTCATTGAGTAGCAGTGATCTTTTTAAAACTTACATTAAGTAAAAACTGCCAGTAGTTAAATCATATGCCTGTAAGAGCTTGCTCTATTTTCTACTGGGGAACCTCAGTCATTTTTAGAGGCTGCAGAATGGTCAGAATGTTTCTAAGTGTGCTCTTTTATTAAATGCTTGTGGAGGTTTTGTACTTCAGTACAGAAAAGTATAACCTTGTAATGTACATTTTTGTATGTAAAAAGTCTTTTAAGTAGCCTTACCCTTATTTAAATAAACTGAATAAAAATGATTTTTTGAGTGTGCCTGTTA